CAACGACCTCCATGTATTCTTCTTCATCGGTCTCCTTTGAGTTAGCGTCCTCCTCGACCTCTGAAGCTAATGTGCGCGACTAGACCCAGCAGCTCCTCTACTCCTTTGTGCTCTAGTGTTAGGTCGATCTTCGTCATTAATCCCTGTTGCTAGCTCAACATCAAGCCATGTGAGATCCTCACCTCAAACACACGCTCTTGTCTTGGATCCACGGTCCACTCACTTATGGAATCACCATCAGCTTAATATAATTGAATAGGGTTGAGCTTCGTGCGATTTTCATACCTCTCCCTAAGCCGCTCGTTATACCGCATATAAACCAAAGCATTCAACGTTTTCTACTCCAACCTAGTTCTGTTTTTTGTATGGAGCTGTGGTAGAAATTTGAAATCAGATAAATTAGATTTTAGATTAGAAAATTGAAATTCAAGAAAACGGTATAAAATAAACAATGGAACTATACATAAAGTAAGAGGCAAATAAGATTATTTTTGGGCTTTTGGCCTTTACCTGGATCTGTAGTGTCCCTATTTCAAGTGGCAATATCTCTCCCAAAGTTTCCCAAGGCTAACTTGGACTTAATCAATTCATGGCTCTGGATCTCATCCTGGATATCTTTGTCTGGCACCAACATCTCCAGCACATCTAAGAAACCACCATTTATTACACGATTTGACTCAATGGATGGGTGCTTGTAGTGAAGAGATGGGTTTAGAAAATAACCGGCTGAATGGAGGTGCCTATGAAGCTGGGTATCCCATCTCCTATCAATAATTTCAAGTATAGCCTTGCGCAAATTTTTATCATCCTTTAAAACGTCTTTTATTTCAGTTCTTGCCCTAATCATTGCCTCATGTATGTAGCCCATGGTGGGCTTCGCATCACCATCAACCAGTCGAAGCACTCTAACTAAAAGGCGAGCCACCTCCAATGCAATAATTATTTGACTCCAAAAAGATGTATTCAGAATAAATTTTTCAGCCTTTCTCCCATCCTTATGCTTTGACTCCATTGCTCTGAAGCAAACATGGTCCTTAAGGCACTTTTTTGCTTGGCTAGGCTTCGAAGAGTGAGAAATGACGTGGCAAATCTAGTGATACCCGGTCTCACTAATTCTCTCTTCTTTGTAAAAGACCTCATCATGCTTAGGACTATGGTATGATTGTAAATAAATCCAACAACAAACATAGCTCTTGAAATCACCCCACTAAATAAAGATGTACCCATTTCCTTAAGCTTAAGATTAACACAGTGAGCTGCACAAGGTGTCCAAAACATATGCTTCCTTTTCAAAGCCAAGAAATGCTCAGCTGCAGCATAGTTGGCACCATTGTCAGTGATAATTTGTACCACATTTTGCCCCCTAACAAAATCAACAATCTCATCCATCAAGACAGATAAGTATATACCATCATGTGACTTGTCTGATGCATCAATAGACTTAACAAAAAAAGTACTTGTTGGGCAGTTAACCCAAAAATTAATGAATGCCCTTGATTTTCCATCGGACCAACCATCACACATAATAGTGGCCCCATATTTCTCCCACCCTTCTCTCTGAGAAATCAAAATTTTATTCACATCAATACAGCATCCTTCAACAAGGGCTTCCTAACCTCATGTAGTGAAGGAGGAATAAGTCCTGGGCCATATTGCCCAATTGCCTGGACCATACATGCAAAACTATCCAGAGTTATAGTATTAAAAGGAATGCCGACCATGTAAATCCACTTTACAATCCACTTACATACCGACTTCCTTTGTCCTTTCTCATATTTATTGTCAATTGTGGTTTGTTTTGTTTTTTTCTTTCTCCTGAACCACAATTTCGGGGCTAGGGGTGAAAAAAGAATCCATTGGCCCTTTAGAGAGAGGTGTTCTTCTCTCAGCACTACCACCAATATTTATAACCCTCTCTCTTGAGGTTGGAGTATGAGTACCCCTTTGCCTCCTAGCAACTTCAGACATATCATCATCATCAAATAATTGCATATCATCAAGTAATTCCTTTCTTTTCTTTTCTTTTTTCTCTTTATCTTTTTTCAATCTATCCAAATATTCTCTAATCTCCTTTTTTATATCATTTGTAGCTTGTGGGCATGCTCTTACATTCCCAAAAATTCCGGCTAAATGCTCTTTTTGTCAAAAAATACCACTCATATAAGTATTTCTACAGAGCAAGCATATCACACAATTTCTATCTTTCGGATTTTTTAGTTTAGCATATTTTCAAGCCGGATCCTTGTTACTAGAAGATTGGGAAGAAGACATTGACCCTAAATAAGCATAACAGTATTATTGTACAAGAAGAAATAAAAAGTTACCGACTCTGTGAAGTAGTGCTCGATTTCTTATGACAAATTCACCTTAACATCCCCAAATCAACAATCAAATGCATCAAATGAACATCCAAGTATCAAACCACCGCCAAATCAAACATTTGGATGAAAGAAAAATTCGCGAAATTTTTTTTTCCTTCGATTTGATGCAAAAAAAGCCACAAAAGTGGCTGGAAATCTTCGTTTAGGGGGTATAGTAACCCCCCAAACAGTTTCCCTAAACTTTGGAACTACAATAAGACCATTTTGCCCCTCCCCGAGGGGCAAAATCGAAAATTTTTTCCTCAGAAACAGATGCGGCGCTATACGGTCTGATGCGGTGCGATGCGAGATGCGGCCATGATGCGGCCTGATGCGGCCGCATATGTCAAAAGCGCATATGCGCCAATGCGCGATGCGGATGCGGATGCGAGCGCATCCCACATGATGCAGCTGTATTTTAAAACACTGCTTAAAACTTAGAGAATTGACATGATTCAAGGTTGAGCTGAGTCAAGTTGAGTTCTGAAGAAACCCCAATATTACATGAAGTCCATCACGTTAGTGATAAGACTTGATTGAGTTTGTGCATCTTGATTTCCTTGAAAGCAAGGATGAGTTTTTCTCTGTGCTTCTCATTCACTTTATTGCATTAAAAGGTGTTTTTAGGCCCTTTAATCGTAACCTAACACCATCAAACATAACATGAAATCTTAAAATTATAATAATATGACTACTTAGTGGCCAAGAAATACCTAAAAGAGATCATTTTCATTACTTTGGGTTGATAATCCATAAGAAAGGAGAGATTGTAGAAGATATTGCTCATAAAATTTGAGCTGGGTGGACGAAGTGGAGATGTACTTTTGGAATCTTATGCGATCATCGCATCACCAATGAAACTGAAGGTGAAGTTCTATAGGACGGCTATGAGACCAGCCATAATTTATAGGCAAAGCGTTGGGTGGTTACGAAATAGTATATCCATATAACGAGTGCAGCTGAGATAAGGTTATTGAAATGGATGAGTGGCAACATAAGGATAGAATTTAGAATGAATACATTTGAGAAAACTTAGGGGAAGCTCCAATAGGCGACAAAATGAGGGTAAGTAGACTTAGGTTGTCTAGTCATTTGCAGCGTTGACCAAGAATAGCACCAGTCAGGAGGGGTGATTTGATTCAAATGAAAAGCTCCAAAAGGGCAAGGAAAGCCCCAAAATACATAGATGGAAGTAGTGAAAAACGATATGGTAACTTATGATCTAAGGGTATGGCCCAAGATAGAGAAAAATAGTGGAACATGATTCGTGTAGCCGACCCCAAATAGTAAGGATACGGCTCAAATGATGATGATGATGATGATGATGATGCAAGCTTGTAATTTTTCTTTCAACTCATGAATTTAATACCAGGTCTCACTAAGATCAATTAATCTGATTTTCAAATCTAAGATCTTGAAAACTCTTATTTTAAATTTTCTTTTTTTTTTAGCTTTAAATACAAGATCAAATAGGGTAAAATCTTGTAGAGGTCATAATATCTCCAAGACCCTAATTTCAGCAATATTAACTGATACTTAGAAATGCATGTGCATTGTGAGACCCTGGATTTATTTGGAAACATGTCATGTTGGATTTTTCTCGAGTCTTTGCCAAATATCTGATACTCGCATGAAACAAACATATCGGAAGATGTTTTCTTGAAAACTCAAAATAAAACAATACAAAAAACAGTCGTTTATGCATAATGTCTTTTTGCATGATCTAATATGCATAAACTGAATTTTGTTCTCTAGAGTGTACGAAAGTAACCCAGTTAACCCTAAAAACTTTAAATTTATCTCTATCTAGGATTTAACCACATACTTCCACTCAGCAGCATATTCCCATTTCTACAGTTCGGTAATGTGTTTTGAAGCTGAGATAAAGTAGTTATTGATCGAATCAAGTATTGTATGTTCATTACTGTATCACATATCCTATTTCAATGTCATATCCAACAGCTAGAATTCACTATGGTCCCTATGGAAACAGGTGGCTTAACATTGCAGGCCTTTAGGCCTCAAGTTTAGGGAACTGAATAGGATTCATTAGCAAGCAGGGATGTACATTCAGAGAGAAACAGATGGGTGGACATTCTTGCAAACACTGTATGCCGAACCTGGTGTGATATGGATTAACCAGAGGACCTCAACTATTCAGCTGATGCATGATTGAAGTTATGGATGTATTATTTTACTAATTTTTGTTTTTCATACTAAATCATGTATGTGTTGTTGGATGATGGCTGTTTTCTGATTTTGTTCTCTTTGGCCAATGGCAATAATTGATCGTAGGATTACTTCTGATTACAGGATAATATATGTTAGTACAGTCACAAAGAAATAAAATCTCTGACCATCCCGAGATCACCACAGCTCCATACCCAGCATCGAAACTGTTGATATTGAGCTTGTACAACTAGTAGCAATGTCAATCTCACTATGTCTGAATACAGGATAAAACCAGAAAGTGTAGAAATCTAATCCTTGAAAATATCGAAAGAACACACTTCAGTAAAGGAGCTAAGATACAGATTAAACCAAGATGCACTCCAATACACCTACCCGACACTATGTATTGACCCACTTCCTCATGATCCTACAATTACTACCTTAAGATAACATTCTATTTACAACTGGAAAATGAGCCAAATTTACGGCTTCTCAATTGAACAGTGCACAGGCCAGCTCTCTCAAGCCCTTTCCGGATAAGAATAGCAGCCAGAGAACAACTATGCAAGGCCAGATATGGATGTAAATCAATGAGTAAAACCATGGTCTCTGCTTGGGTCCTCATCCTGGTCCTTAGGTGAGTTGATTCGGGAGGGAACCGAGCCAAAGACTTGCCAGGTTGCCAATGTGAGTCAACTCAGGCAAGCCCCAAGTAGACTTACTGGGTTTCAAACTGTAAATCGAATATGCAGAATACCGTATATCTCAGGAAGTGCTTAAAATATCTCTCAAATATAAAGAATTGCAGAATATGAACATATGCAATCACAAAGTTACCCCTACTCTGTGTGCATCTACTACCTCTTTATTGAGTCCGAATTCACAAAGGGAGATTGCACCTTTTGAGCATGTAACAGAAGAATCTCCTTTCGATGTTCCATAAATCTGCAAATATGGGCTATTAGGAAAAATAGAAAGAGATACTATTAACAATGTAAAAATTTAGGTACAATTCAGAATTTGTTACAATATTAGAAGCATCCTTGATAAAAGATTTTCTAGATTTACGGATTTCAAAGATTCCCCACCTCCAACTATTTGTTAGAAAGAAACCTCCAAAAGCAGAAGACACTGGTAAGTTTAGAATAACTAATTTAGGTAAATCATGCTCTATTTTCTTCAAGTGTGAATTGGAGATTTGACGCAAAAGTTTAGCACTTCTGCTCCATAGCACATGACAAAGACACCCCACCAAATACTAATTTATTTAATTCGATGAAATCACAAGAAGATACCTTGATAGGACTTTATAAAACCAATTCCAGGCAGCTATGCTGTGAGGACGTCGTCGAACAATTTCTTTCGCACAGATGCATCCATAATTTGGATCACTTGTATTATAAGCAACTTCTGCAGGGAAATTGAACAAAGAATAACAAATTATTTCCATGATCTCCTCATCTAAATGTAACAAGATCAGTGAATCTATCCAACAATTATCTATCTATTAATAACCAAGGTAAGCTAAGGGGAAAGCAAAAGAAGAAGCTAAGGGAAGCAAAGCCCTGCTAAGCTAAGCAAGCAAACATATATTGATGGTGGGTCGAGTACTACATATGTGTTTGTGGTTGAAAGCATTCTTTCACATTATCCCCACAGAACTTGACAAGGCCTAAGGGGGGGATGCACATGTGTGTGTGTGTAGGATTGTGTGCATGCATTTCAGATCTGAGTCACCATTTAACACTTTAGATTATGGCAAAGGCCACATCTAATGAGAAATTTATCTCGTCACTATGGTCAATTGAATTTTTGATACTTAAAAAATCTTTAACTCCATAAAAATGAAGCCAAATAAAGCTAAGACCTCTATCATCCTAGACTTATTAATTACAGAACACCTCCAGTAATACAGTGGCTCATATCGTGAAAAGACTTGCAAGAAATTTAGCTCTGAATAACCTCATCAATGCACAGTGGTTCACAATGTAGAAATGTTTGCAAGAATTTATGCTCTGAATGACCTCATCCATACATCAAGACATTGAATATACTGCTCTCCTCTCTCTCTCTCTC